GTTTTAGGTGATATGGGGGACTTGTTTTTGTGCAGGTATGGTCTTTTGATGTTGTAGGATCAATGTTTGAGGTGTTTTGTGCTCAGAGATGGCATTCTGCTTACCTTGGTTGCAGTAGCTGGTACAACTCTGGTGGTGCAGCTGTTTGTCATGTTTGTGTTGCAGTAATTTCAGTAAAAAATTCCTTAATTTACCATTGTCTGAGTGAAATAGCAGATAGCTTCTTTCACAGAGCCAATTCATAAATTATCACCAGAGCAGGCAGAACAAAAGAAGTTTGTTAAACCAATAGATGAATAAGTTAAAACAAATTTTGTGTGTGTGTATATATATATATATATACACACACACACATTAAAAATGTTCATATATCTGCTTTAGACATTCATGCCATACTCAACTTTTAATTCATATTGGTTTATAATGTTTGATATATGTAGATTTCTCAATAGATTTTTGTTATGGCCAAGAAATGTAAGTATTTTATGTCAAATTCCTATAATTTTATATATTTGAAATGGATATTACTTAACTCTATACAACATCCTTTCAGTTATTCTCTGGTCTTCTGCAGATTACGATGATGAGTGTGAGGAATTGATGGAAGTGTGGATTAAATCGAACACAATCAGTCAGTTCAAAATAAGGCTTTGTTGAACCATCGAATTTGCATTTTTCTGTTATGACAAAAAATATTATTATATTCTTTTATCTATTGCCAGTGATGTTTCATAATTACCTAATTAACTGTAGCTCTATATGCTTTGTTATATTACGGACTGAATAGTGACTCAGTCCCATTTATTGCAGCAAAATAAAACGAACCCCTAAAAACCTCCTATTGAAAAACAATTTTCAATATGCAGCAAGTGGAGCTGTATACCAAATTGCAATCTCCATTGCATTACCTGTGTGTTGAGTATCGCACTCATAAATATATGATGATCAGATGTAATTTTTGAATGCTGTGTTAAAAGTGTCATGCATTCACCTAACTGCCCTTTCTCCTCTTACCAAATATATGTTTTTAGTGGTTAATATACTAAAGCTCACAGAGACAGGAACAAAGTCTTATAGTAAAGAAAGAAAAGTCAGGATAAAACAAAAGTGTAATAATTATAAATAATGGATTCATAACAGGCTTTTGCAGAGCTATGAAATATATATAAATATATCTTTTAAGAAACTGTTATTATTCATTCCAAAACATTGAGAGAGCAAGTTTTTCAAATAAAAATGAAAGGTTATTGATGTAAAACTGTGACTTCTTAAGCCTAAGTATTCTAGATGAAAATGAATAACTTACCAAATTTTGAGTGATCAATAGAGGCACATGTTTTTCAATCAGACTACAATCCATGAAAGGCATAATAGCTTTATTTTAGCTCAACAAGTTAAACTGGCCACAACATTTTGCATAAGGGTTTTGCAGTGATGTAATCAAGGTGGCAATCTACTCAAGACGTATTGTATAAGTGAGAGGAGAGAAATTAAATGTTTTTTTTTTCTTTCTGTGGGTGGATTACTGATGATAAAGTTTGATCAGGTGAGATCAGTGTAGCTTGATACTTGGAAAAAAAAACCTTGATTACAGAAAATGTCAACTTTTTTCTGTTTTTGATTTGCTTAAAATGTTTACATTTATTTTTCATCAAAATGCTTTTCAAATAGAGTAATTAAATGAAACATAACTAACTTATACATGTAAGATATATTAGCAGACATTCTTTTTCTAAGCAGCTGATGTTTCACCTACAGCTTGCTATCATGCAATAATTTCAGGTGCAGAAATTTAAGTTGACAAGATTATCTCCACAGAAAAGTTAAGCACCATTCTGCAGATTCTGTATAATTTGAACGTGTCATTTTTTATTTTTGTAAGCTAGATTTAGAGCCGTACAGGTTAAGAAATGCTTATCTTTATCATTAGAATGTCATGTTCTCTGGTTGGGGACTGAGATGTTAAATTTTCTTCAAAATGTAATGTGACTTAGGCGGAATTTCTCACATTTTTGAAGATGGTTCTGTGAATGCTTAAAAAATATATCAAATATATCTATCCAAGAGTTTCCCTTTTTATGTGGAGAGACATTGATTATGAGACCACTCAACTCCAATAAAGCCGAACACATCATAGATGGAAATCGAATCCCTCAGTTTTGGTCAAATTTTAAAGGATATTTTAAAAGAAGCTAAAAGATAATTGATTTACTTAGTATCCACCATTCTTTTTTAAATGAATAGCCTGTGTCTTGTTTTTAGGTGTAGAAGTCATGGTTGATATTTATTCCTTGCAGAATTCATCATTGAGTGAAATGCTTGAGCAGATGGAGCACATCAATGAGTAACAGTTGCCCAAAGTGTAGAACAGTGTCAGGCAATGCAGATTATTTTGGTCTGTTTTTGTCTTAAATAATAATTTATGTAGTCAGAAAACATAGATTGCTTGGTACCTTCTTGTGATACAACCTTAAGAAAATAGTTACCAAACCTTGACCAATATTTTGGAAATTAATTTTTAAGTCAGTTTCAATTTGACTGTTAAAATGTGGCTGATGAGTGGAGATAGTCTCCGCTACTTCTAATCTTTGGTTGACTTTAAACCAACCACTGACCAGCATCTGGATGTCATTGGTCAGACCAGCTGCTGTGTTGTCTGGATGGAAAGAGATCAGCTTCCTAGAACCGTTAGCATGTCCAGATAGATTATGAAAGGTTGCTATAGAGCCAGTCAAAATTTCTGTCAACCAAAGAAATGAACATTGAGATGCAAAAGCAGAAGAATATATGTTTCTGAGAGGTCAGCTTTTTGGTGTATTCACACCTGACACATTTGATCCACTTTAAACAAACCACAGTTTGTTTTCCCCTTTCATCTGGGCCTTTTGTGCAGGTATGAAGATACTCAAGGAAATCCTGGTTCAAACCAAAGAACCGGATCGAGACCCGCTTTTTGAGGGGCTTCCAAATGGTACGGTTTGCTTCTGGTGTGAAGGCAGACTGGACTTGATTCGGAAAGTCCACAGGAAACTTATGTCTGTTTGGACTTAATGAGCCACCGTTGATGGGCATTATGGTAAAAATGAGTCCTTCATTATTGCTAACGGTGCTGCTCCGTGTACTGAAATAATACCAGCTGAATTTGCAGTTGCTTTTCCAAAATTAATATCACATTGCAACACCTGCATCATATCATCTGCTCTTGACATTCAAAATTGTGCTGCAGTTGTAATAACAGCAGCACAATGCTGTTATTTGCTGTTATTGCTGTTATTTGAAAGTTAACAGCAATAAGCTGCTGCAGAACTTTCAAAGTTTGTTTTATTTGTTTTGTTTTATTTGTTTCTGTCCCGTCCTCTGTCATTTCTGTCAAATGGGAGCAATGACCGCCACCTGCGTGGCTTTGTTTACAGACAGCTTGCTAAAATGCAAAGCACATCAAATGAAAAACAATAAAAGCCCGCTTTCAGTCCAGACCAAACAAGACGACCAAAGGACTTTTCTGGTGTGAATATATACCGTTAGTCATGCTTGGTCAAGGTGTTTTTTACCCAGCCACTCCAAGCACACTACAGTCTGGTCAATCTAAATTTTGATTTCCTTTGGAGGCTTTCTATTCTAGAATACCCTACTATTTGTTGCATGTTGTGTATAATGTCATCTTGGTAATTAATAGAAACCTTCGTTATATTTTTAAGAATAAAATAAATTATGCGTTACTAAAGGTGGTAATTATCCATGCTGTAGGACTGAATATTACCCACATTATGTTACAGAAATGCATATTTCCCTTACTCATTGCATGTTGTAGATGTTTTGCTTGCTTGAGGTTTAAAAACGCTTCTTTAATTAATACTGGAATGATAAAATCTACTTCCTTACACTGTGGATTTTGTGATTCAAAGTGTAGAAAAATATATTTCTGGAAGCTCACTTTTATCAGCACATTTGTAGGTTGCCTTAGTAAAGTTTTTTATTTATTTATTTATTTTTTTTTTTTTTGAAGAATAACAATGAGCAAGTTCAGCTAGATGAGGAAAATAAGGTACATCTGGAACATTGTAAACAAGCAGCACCACTAATTTGACATTGCAAATTTTTCAAAGCCATTCCTGGTACTATCTATCTATAGCATATATAGTGTTTTATGCATTAGTGCCTCTGGCTTAATGCATGCCCCCTCTCCAAGACGTAAATTACAGCAACAGCACATTATTCTTTTTCATTTTAGGTTAAGAAAATTATATCTAAAAGACAAGAAGATGTATTTTATGCCTACTGATGCAGGTTGACACATATTTCTAAAAGCATATAGTAAAGATTTGGTCTTCTATTTCTTTCTATTTGTATTTTTTTTTATTTATGCAGATGTGCATTTGCGTGCACGTGTGCGTGCGGGGCACACGTGTTTCTGATTTCCGTGTCCTCTGTCTCCATGTCACCTTTGTTGACTTTGTCTCTCCTCCTGCAACACTGTGCTCTCCGCTTTAATGACGCATACATCCTACCTTCAGTCAACTACCTAATCCCAGCAGCGCTAGCTCAGGAACAGATTACTGCTGCCAGACACCAGAGGAGAGAGCAGCAGAGAGGGGAGGGGGCTGCAGGGGAGAAAACAATGCTTCACTGACACAATATACAGAGGAATGGAGAAGGCATGCACAGAATGCTTACCAACAATATGATTGCATTTTTAATCCTGAAAATGTCAATATGATGTTAAATAAAATAATATAACTTGTAAAAGCTTCATTTTAGTTTGTTAAATTGTATGTGTTCAGTTCAAATTAGATTGCTATGTTTAGTGTGACTTTTCACATCAGTAAGCCACTTGGCTGGAAAATATTCAAACAAGTACCTACAAGGTGATAAGATAGATCAAACATAAAGAGTTTTCTATGACTGAAATTACCTACAGTGGCATCAGCAAACAAATATAGTTTTGTAGAATGGATATGCTGCATGTTTTTTAAATGGTCATTCTTTCTTTCTGTCTCTAGACCAAAGTGAAGACCCTCCCCACTGTATGACAAAGTATCCAACATGGCTCCTTCCCTCAGCAGGTATAGTTACAGCTGCACAGACCTCAAGACGAAAACAAAACACTGGTGTCTGATGTTGCCGAAGTAGTGCACAGTGCAATATGTTTTTCATATGTAATCGTTGCGTTAATGGGGTGACAGTAATAGTTTTAAAATTGCCTTCTCCACGAGCCAGCTCCAGATTCCCTCTGCCTTTACAACAAATTGATAAGCACGTTTTTTGTGTTCATATTAATAACAACTTTTAATGATGATTTTGAATAGATTTTTAACAGTATAAGAGTGTGTGTGTGATAGATCAGAAGCAGACGGTCTGTGGCAACCCTTAAACACAGGGTTAATTAGAGCTTTTTACTGCCCTCTCATGCAGGTGTAAATAATTGGGAGTGGGGTCTGGTCTGTCCAGCAGCTGTTGTCACCCTGCCAGCTGACACACAAGACCATGACTTTTAGGACCAAATGATTGCCAATAAAACATTTGATTGAGAGACGAAGAGAGTGAGAACCATAAACAGGCAGGAATCTGCCCTTTAATTCCACCATCTCCAGAGAATTGGTTTTACCGTGCTGGGGAGTAGGTGTCGGACACAAGGAGTTTAGTTGTCTGCCCAAGGACTGAAATTTAATTTAGCTTGTGTGTAGCCGTTCTGGTTGCTTGTGAGTGTGCATAGCTGGGTGTACATGTGAACATGGTTCTCTAGTGTGATTTTAGTATTTTTAAAGTGAAACTTTAGAAATAAAAAGCTTTGCATGATGGACATATAAATGTTTGTGCTGTTATATTTGTGTTTACTGTATTTTGTGTTTTTTTTTTTTTGTTGTTTTTTTTATTCTCCTGTGACCTAAAAATTGCACATTGCTGGTTTCTGCAAGATTTTTCTCTGTCTGGTTGTACTGAAGTTTTTATTTTCATTGTATACTGCTTTGTTGTTACTGGATTTGAACTCATTCTTGTGTATTTTTTTCATCCCCAATGTTTTATCATTGCTTTAACCTGTAAACCTTGAAAATTATTTTCTGTTCCTGCTGGCAACATTTATTTTTTTTGTTGTTGTAATTTTCTGGTGTTTGCTGAAATATGTGTGTAGGGGAAAAAAAAACAGCGACTGAAATGTTCGACAATGGTTACTTTGGCTTTTCACTGCAGCCAGTTGATAACACTGCTTCATGTGTATATGTGTGTCTGTTTATGTGTTTAGGTCCAGGTTTCTGATGAAAGCCTCGAGCAGAGGCATATATCAGAGCTCTAGTACTAATAAAAGGCCAGCAAGCTTTGTTCCTCTCCGTCTGGGAACACCACTGGTTTTTACTGCCTCTCTGACAGTAAGATAAAGTGCCCTTCCAATTAGAAAAATATTTGAACGCATACCTACCAACAGCAATCCTAGGGTTTTATTGTTTATGACTCTTGATCAGGAATTCTTGCTATTTTCACACTGCTTTTTTTCCTTCTTTTTTTTTTTTTGTCGTCATGTTCTGGGTATGAACATGCTAAAATGCCCTGTGTATAAGCAGTGTTATGCTTATGCGGTTTTAGGTGGTTGTCTATTTTTTTTCTTTTTTTCTGCTTTGTTTCACAGGGTGAGGTAGCGCACCGTTATGTTTTGGTATGAATTTCGGACTAAGACTGTTGATGTTTTAGCATATTGCATGAGACGATCCTAGCGCCTGTGTGTGTTTGGGTAGATGTCATTCTTGTTTCCCCTGTCATCCATCTCTGCCTCATACAGAAATGTGTGCATATACACTTAACTGCTGACGCTAGTCCTCTCTCGTACTGTAGATGTTTTTTTCCCCCCTTCTTTCCAGAGAGTGCATTAAAATTAAATTCTCTCTTGTTGTGAAAAGAGGCACACGTAAAAAATAATTGGCTGTAGGAGAGAACAAAGGGCTGGCTCCTCTCCCCTCCCTGCACACCACAACCAGGCATTAATACCAAGCCTGCTGCATTGTTCTGCTGTCTGCAGCCATCCCCCTAGCCAGACACTCAGCTCTGGAGAAGTCACTTTTAATGTCTGATAATCAAGGTGAATTTTCAAAAAGCTGCCATTTTCAAATGGTGGTGTATATATTATGTGTAGATGGGAGTTCAGGACTGGAGGATCCCTTTTTTGGTGAGAGAGAGGGAGAGTGATAGACTGACGGAGAAAGCGAGAGAGAGAGAGAGAGAGAGAGAGAGAGAGAGAGAGAGAGAGAGAGCGTTTCAGTAATGTGAAGTGAAAGAGAGACACCTAACGGCAAAAGATGGAACTGCTGGAGGATTTTTGGACTAATCATAAGTAGTTAGGAGAACAGAAAGCAGCTAAAATATCAGTGTCACTGCAGAATTTGGTTCAGCAATTTGATTTGAGGGTTTAAATATTTACTTCTGCAACAAAAACATATACACGAAATACAGCAGGAAACCTAACCATCCAGAGCATCCATACCGTCTGTGCTTCTAGAGTGTAAAGGTAGTGTGTGTTTTTTTTTTGTTTTTTTTGCTTTTTTTTGTAGAGAACAAATGCTTCATAGTGTTACACCTTTCTGAAGGAAATTCTTGGGCAGTGTTACCAGGGAATCAGGGATCCAGCAGCCAAGCAGTGGAGCTCCATTTCCTTGCTACAGGGCACAGACTCATCTTCTTCTTGCTCCTCCCTCCCCCGTTTTCTCCCCCTTCACTAGGTATGATTATTTCTCCTTCGCTCCAACACACCATTATATTCCAGTCTGCAGTTACCCCTCCCTGCTGTCATTTTTCATACCATGTTTTTGCCCATGTGCAGCACTGCACATTTGCGCTGTGCCTGGGCAATATGTAAAGGAAGCGAATGTATGCAGTGTGCAGAATGTAATAAGTATATATATATATATATATATATATATATATATATATATATATATATATATATATATATATATATTTTTTTTTTTTTTTTTTTTTTTTTTTTTGTGGGAGTTTGGGGTTTTTTTTTTTTTTTTTTTTTTCCCCCGCTCTTTTAAAA